TTTTGCAATAGGATAAATAAGTAAAATAAATGAATAATGATATAATAAAAAATAGGTAATTACCTTTAAAAATAAAAATATAATAATTATTTTAATTCGAAAGAAATATATTTATACGAGTACTGCTACAAGGACTGTCAATCCGCAGGCCGATTGGTCCCTACAACTTTTTTATTTTTACTTTTTAAATTTGATATTTTATGTTTTATTTTTAAGTCCCATAATTTTTAATTTTAAATTATTTAAATTATTAAATTCCTAAATTTTTTAAATCTTAAATCTTTAAATTTAAAACTTTAAACCCAAATACATTAAACACTAAATCTTATAAAATCTAAATTTGAAGACTGTACGATAATAAACTTAAAAATTTTAAACTTTAACACCTTAACCACATAATTCTAAAATAATTTAAATATTAAATCTTAAAAAATATAAATCCTAACATTTTTAATCCTAAATTCAAATAATTTTAAACTCTAACGATGTGAGTTTAAATTTATTTTAATTTTTTGAAAGATAAGAGAATAAAAATAAATTTAAACTATTAAAAAGAGAGACTAAATAATAAATTTAACTTAAGAAAAAAAAGAAATAAAAAAAACCTATTGGTGCTATGCAGGCCGGCCTCCGTCGGCTTGCTAGGGGATCTGCCCCTAGCATTTTCCTATTTAATGATAATGTGATATTATAAAGATAATTTTTTTATTTCATAATTTTATATAATTTTTATATGTTATTAAATAAATAAATAAATTTAATATTATAAATTTTATATAAATTTTAAAAATTATTATTTAATAATACATCAATTATATAAAAAATGAAATTAAAAAATTGTACAAAAAATATCTCCCTTGATGAAATACTTAACTTCGAGATTAAAACGATGAATTTGAGGTTAAGATTTAATGATTCCGGGTCATCGAGAGTCCTCAGTGTCTCCAACTGTAGTGTCGGTGGCGGATGCCTTGAGTACCACGGCTACCATAAAAGTAAGAGTGTGATTTAGAGGTAATTTTTTTAATTGTTTTTTGCATAATTTTATCTATCATTTAAAGAATTAAATTTTTTATTTATTTAAAATATATAATATTAAATATATTTCTTATTTGACATAAAAAAATAATATAAAAAAATTATTCTTATATCATTACTCATAAAAATATAAAGGTTACGTAAATTTTATTCAAATGAGAAAATGAGTTAACGATTTAATTAATTTAATTATAATTTTTTTTAAATAAAAAATTTTAAATTTGATTGACATATTAACAAAATACGTAAAAGAAATAAGTTAAAAAATGAGAGAGGACAAAAAAAGATTAAATCATGATAGATTAGGTAAAATTAAAATCTATATTATATCTCATATTGTGATTAAATATTTAGATATTTTTAATATAAAAATATTTTAATTTTAATTTTTTAATAATTTATAATTTTTTAAATAATTAAGAATAATATTTTAAAATATCAATTTAGATAATAATTTAAATTTAATTAAATAATAAATATTAATTATTTTATTTATTATTAACTTTTATAAAATAAATAAATAAACAAAATAAGCAATTTCAAAAACAATATTGCAGCTAGAAGCTGGCATAACCACAGCCGGATGCCTCAGATTTTTGATAAAGATGAAATCTTTCTGTCAGAGGTGCCTTCAGATCCCACCAACACCTAACGATACACTTTTTCCTTGTAAAAATTTTGATAGGTAAAGCGAGATAAACGAAATAGAATGCGAGCAAGGTGATTTCCACCAACTGTGATGATGGTTTCTGTGCTACCAACTTTCCATGCACACACACATAAAGGCTTTTACATTCACTTTAATGGGGCCCGTGAAAAGGACACACCTCTTCAGAATCTACAGGTGTCCATGTGAAGATGCCTTAAATGAGGTTAGAAAGTGAGAGAAAGGGTGGGGAGAGGGTTAAATGTGACGGTGGATGCTTCTCTTCCACCGTTTCTTGGTCTTCATTAGATACTGTTAGTAGTTGGTGTTGTGGGTTTCTAAAATTAACTCTCCAAGCAGGGAGAATTGGAAAGCACCCAGTGTGGGATCTGGGTTTTAGCTTTAGGAAATGAAGCCTTGGTATTTCCAGAATAGGGGAGGAGTAATGACTGGGATTCTTGTGATGCTTCTTCCAATGCTTTTTCCTAGTCTGTTTACTCCATTGACCCATGCCTCCCCTTCTGTATTCTCGGTATGGAAACTATTGATACTAGTTTTCTTTTTTTTGAGAATTCTTTCATTATTATTATTATTTTTTGGTAAATAGAATTCTTTCATTATTGCTTCAATGGAAAATGGGTTTTGAATCAACTTTTCTAATTTTCTTTTAATTCATTGAGTTTTGTGATATTTGCTCTGGAAAGTGGCAAATAACTGAAGGGGGACGGGTAAAGTGTTTTGTATTGTAATCCCATGGAAAATTTAGCTGGTTACTAAAGATGATAAGGGGGATTAGCTTTAGTTTACAATACCAACAAAAATGATTGGCCAAGTGGCCAAGTTTAGTCAGCTATGTAAGCTGATAATTTGGTAATTATGCCAACCCGGAAATTTTGATTTGTAAAGACATGAGTTTGGTGAGTTAATTTTAGTATTTTGGAATATGTGAAAATGATTGCTAGGATGCTACTCTGCTTCTCCATCTTGTTTATTTTCTTTCGTTTGTGCTAGTCTCGTAATAATATTAGAATGGCAGCACCAGCAGCACTGGATCAGCCGGAGGATAAAAAATTTGGCAGATGGATCAAGTTGTGACAGAAATTTTTATCTTCAAAGTTAATCTCAAAGCCTGCAAATTATAATTCAATTTGAGGATATTTAGAATTCTACACTGAATAACTGCAAGAAATATATTGTTGAGGAAGAGTTTCCAGAAAAAATTTTAACAATTTGAAAATTTTAATTGTAATGCATGTAGCAAAAGGCAGGAAGTTTTTCATATTTGAATAGACTTGGATTGGAGAAGTGTTCAATGGGATGGGAGAGAGGGAAAAGCCCATCAATCAATGAGTCTCTTCTGTATTTTATATGTGACATGATCATTTTGAGAGAGATATATTTCTGCTCATCAACACATGCTTGTTGCCATGTTCTTTGTCTTGGAGTGATGTGCTTAAGACCTTTCTGGTAGTTAACTTTAATCTTTGTTGTTTGTTGTAGGAATGGAAAGCTCCAAAACCTAGGCATTTACCTTTACTCAAGAGTGCTTTACAACTTGAAAGTGTGAGTAGCAATCTCTTCGGCAGCACTCTTTTTTGGTGTGCCATCTGTCAGCATGTTTGGTGTGCACTTGCATGCTTATGTTGCAAATTTCCAATTTTTATGTGTTTTCTTGGCTGTAATTTTCACTGTTTTGTTTTCTTGGCTGTAATTTTCACCATTTTGTTTTCTTGTTTACCTTTCAGTCTAATGCAGAGCAGTCTGACTTATGGGCTCCTTTGGAGGACCAAGGTTGGAGACCGTGTTTTGAGTCTATAAATGCCCCTTGTGAGTGACTAGAAATGAGATTCCCCGATAGATTTGGTTTCATTCAAAGTTGTGCCAGTGATGACGTTGTATTGTTTTTCCATGATCGTGATTCTTAATTTTTTGTTTTTCCTCTTCCATTTGTTTGAGCAGCACTACCACAGAAATCTCAAGGATACATTCAGGCATTCCTTGATGGAGGTTTGAACCAGCAAAGAATGGGGGTAAGTAGTTGAAGTTTCTTATTCATTTGCTTCATACATGCTTACAGTTGTTAAGGATTACAATGCCTGATTAGATTTTTAAGCTAATTGTTGTCATCTTTTTCATTTTTCTTAGATATGTGATGCGGTTGCTGTTGCAAAAATACTGAATGCAACACTCGTAATTCCACATCTTGAAGTAAATCCTGTCTGGCAAGATTCAAGGTACTTAATGTGGAAAAAACCTTTCCTTTCCTTTCCCTTTCTGTCTAGTGTCTATAGATTTTTACTTGATTTGAAGGCATTATTCTTAAGCAAATAATATTCCCTGCAGCTCATTCATGGATATATTTGATGTGGATCACTTTATTAATGTATTGAAGGATGATATTTCAATAGTCAAAGAACTGCCTGATGAATTCTCCTGGAGTACAAGGGAGTACTATGCCACAGCCATTAGAGCTACAAGAGTTAAAACAGCACCTGTTCATGCATCAGCTAATTGGTATCTAGAGAATGTCTTGCCTTTATTGCAGAGGTTGGTAACCACTTAAAACTATCCTTTTTAGTATACAGCTTGGTTGCTTTTTTTGACATTTTGTGCCTGAGTGTTTTTGATCATTAAGTACCTATTAATGTCTCTTTCTATTATGGGGAATTAGAGATAAGCAAGTACTATGCAATATCTGCTACCCATTTGTAGGGATAATGTTGCTGAGCTAGACGATTAAAACTTTTTATTCTTTAACCTCTTTAAGTTAAAACTCAATTTAACATGTGTTTCTATTTTATAGGTAATGTGTTTTCCCAGTGATTTTTAGTTGCTTGTTCCAGTATGAAGGTTCCAATTTTATTTATTACATTTTCACCTTTAGCTTTGTTCATTTTGCTTGCCAATGTATAAGATCAGTAATATTCTGTGTGGTCCAGTTATGGGATTGCTGCAATTTCACCATTCTCTCATCGTCTATCTTTCGACAACTTGCCGAGGGATATCCAGCAACTGCGCTGTAAAGTCAACTTCAAAGCATTAGCCTTTGTTCCCCACATTAGGGAACTTGGAGATGCTCTTGTTAGCCGCCTCAGGTATCCTCATGGAGACACTGGAGCACCCAGTACTGACTATCTGCTAGAGATCACAGGTGTAGGTGACAAACAAAGGGCTGGGAAGTTTGTTGTGCTACACCTCCGTTTTGATAAGGTACATCCTGCTTGTCCTATAGATCTGTATGTTATTCTCATAGTGCAGAGGGTTAACATAGGTTTTAGCTTTAAATCTTGTCAAATAGATTTAAAGAAAGGGAGGAAAGATGAAGTTATGCATTCACATGCATGCTCCATATGCTTGCTTAATTTATACACAGCTTCTTGAAGGTGGGATTGCTATGCTGTTGTGACAGAACGTTATGGTTTTAACATGCTTTTGCAGCTGTTCCTCAAACAAGTTTAAATGTCAAAGATTACTTTTGTAAATACACTATAGCGCATATACAGACCTGTTGACCTCTCATGGGGCAGTAGATAGGCATGCTTCATGTGATATCTCCTGCTTATTTTCTAGGGAAAAAGTTGCTTACATTTGTATGCTTAATGAGACACTAAAAGATGTAATGAAATTGCATTTAAGATCCTCAAACATTTTTCACCATGTCTCCCACTGACATCCATTTTTACGGTTTTCACTGTTTGTGGGCTCTCCCGCTAACCTCATAAGTGTGCAGGATATGGCTGCCCATTCAGCCTGTGATTTTGGCGGGGGAAAAGCTGAAAAATTGGCTTTGGCCAAGTATCGACAAACAATTTGGCAAGGAAGGGTTCTTAATTCCCAATTTACTGATGAAGAGTTGAGGAATCAGGGACGTTGCCCTTTAACTCCTGAAGAGATTGGATTGCTGCTAGCAGCCTTAGGCTTTGATAATAATACTCGTCTCTACCTTGCTTCCCACAAGGTCTTTTATCTTTCCAATGTGGATTTGGCCATATTTTAATTTTCTGTTTTGAGAAATTTTTTCGTCAAATATGGCGCCATTTTTTTCCAGGTATATGGTGGGAAAGCTAGGATTTCCACCCTACGAGAACTGTTTCCCCTAATGGAAGATAAGAAGAGCCTTGCTTCTGCAGAAGAAAGGGTCCATATCAAAGGAAAGGCCTCTCTATTAGCTGCCCTTGATTATTACATTAGTATGCATAGTGACATCTTCATCTCTGCATCTCCTGGGAACATGCACAATGCTTTGGTAAGTATGTCTGGCTAATTCTCTGGCATCATCAAATGTCCATTGCATTCCATAAACATGGCATTAATTTTGTGTTTTTGAACTCCGCCTTTTGCCATTACAATATAATTTTCAATCCACATTCTGTGGAAGGCCTTTGAAATCCTTTCTATGATGGTAACAGGTTGGACATCGAACTTTTGAGAACTTGAAGACTATAAGGCCAAATATGGCATTGTTGGGCCAACTCTTCCTGAACAAAAACATTAGTTGGTCAGCCTTTCAGCAGGCAGTGGTGGAAGGGCATCAAAACAGACTTGGGCAACTCCGATTAAGAAAGCCAAAACAATCCATATACACATATCCTGCTCCAGATTGCATGTGTCATGCATAGGCCTACCTTCTGTATTTATTCGTTTGATACCACGAGTATTGTTTTTGGCTGCGTTATTGGTATTATAGATAAATCCCATATCTCTCATAAAACTACTTCATGTAGTGTTTCGGAAGCATGTCCACAGCGGAATATAAATAGCGGGTGAGGTTATTGTCAATGTCTCTTGTGCTTCAGGAAAATAATGACATGATACATCGGCATCAGTTCATATTTGTTTCATCTCAGCCTATGTAGCTCTACTATATCTAATATTGCATCAAACTTCTCATATGCACTGGCAAAGAAAGTCGATATTTTTAGGGAAACAGAAAATGCAAGATGCTAAAACAAACTGTACACCAATTCTTGTAATTCTCTGAAGGCTCAAATGACCTTGAGACACAAACTGTGAAATTTGACCATCAGACACTTCTCTTGATGTTTAATGGATGCCATTTTGATGGGGGGGAAATAGAAAGTGAGATTTAGATTGCAGCGTTGCGCAGTCCAACTTCCTCCTCGGTGTCAGTTTTCAGTGAGGACAGTGTAGGATTATCTAACTTGCTGCTCTGCTTTACATTCTCAAGATTTTGCTAGGTTGAATTTCAAATTGCAGGCTACATGATGACTAGGAAGGATAAGCAAACAATAGATTTTCATGTCTAGCATCTGATAAACAGACTCGAAATGGGGCAGATTAGAGAGAGTTCTATGGAAAATTTTGCATTAAAACTCAAAACATAAAGAAAGGAAAGTTATTTTGATTTCCTTAAAACAAGAAGTGTGTGTCTTGTTAGTAGCAGAAAGAAATGCTTACACACAACAATCAGTCTATATAAGCTGAAAAATGTACCCCTTTTGCAACATTCCAGAAAATAATCTGAGTGGAAAGAATATCACACAAGCTATATGATACCAAGCTTTATCACACTTATCAATTAGTTGTGCTGCCTGAATGGTGATCTTTCCACAACAATGGACTCAAGTCTCTTTGTTGTGGGTGAAGAAAGATTATGAATGTTCTCTTTTACAGAGTTAAAACCTTCATCATTTCCTTTCAAGGTCATGCCGGAACTATCAAAAGTAAGAAATATAAATAGTTGAAAGAGAGCTGTTCAGGGGATTTGAAAGTCCCAGGGTAAGGGAATCCAACGGGCGAACCGCCTATATCTAACGGCACCATTCTTACTAGCCGTTAAGGCTTATTGGGTTGGGCTAATGTAGTACCATTCACCATGGGCCTCCGAAGCCAAGATCGTCTCTCTTTTTTTGGGCATAGATGCACTAAGTATTTTTATAATATTTTTTTCTTTTCTTCTGAATAATGACAAAGTGTTTTACAAAAGTACAAAATATGAATCCCTTTTTCTAAAAGGGATTATAATTTTTTTCCCTTGTAAATCAAATCAGCCCGTTTAGCAATTTAAGTGCTAATTAGTAATTAGCACTTTTTACTAGATGTGCTATTAAATTTTAAGTTGTTATTTTGCATTTTAAGTGTTTTTTTAATGGAAATTAGAGATTTTTATTGAAAATAAAAAAGATTACATCATAATCTCTATATATCATGGCACTATAATCTAAAACTAAGGTATAACCTAAAGCATTAGTTTTAGATTTAACTATACTTATAATGAATCTAAACAATTATGTAAAAAAAATTATTTATAATTAGAGATTAAAAGTAATCGTTATAAGGACAAAAACAAAGCTACTTAAGTGGAAGGATTGTCTTGTTGAGCAATCAAAGCTTTTGGAAAATCTCATTGAAATTATTAGTTTATAAAGAGAGCACTAATAGATGTTAGTCCCACCAACTAACTGTTAGTCATTCCCTAAGCCAAGCAAGCCTTAATTTCACATCCACTTGCAACTTATGATAATGATATTGCCCACAATCTCTGCCTTTGATCTACGAACTACTTTCACATCCAAACTCCTTTGCTACCATAGACTATTGTCCCTCAGTTGTCCTATAGAACCCAATAAACATTGTAGATTTGCCTTAAGTGAAAGAGTGGACAAGGGATAAAAAGGGCAGAGGAGAAAATATGGGAGGAGAAGGATAGGCAAAAAAAAAAAAAAGAATGTCGAAGGGAAGGGGAAAAGAGGCAGAGAGGAAGGATAGACTTAGGAGAATGAGAAGAAGGATGGAGAAGGCAAGGAAATGGGAGATGGCAGCCTTCTAGCTTTGGCTTCCATTCCTCCGTGGCTTTTCAAGTTACGGTTCTTTCTTTGGGAGGAGGGTTTTCAGGAGGAAATGAAGTTTTGCAAATCACCCTACATTTAAAGTGTTAATTAACAAGTTTAAAAATTACAATAGAATAAAATTTTTATTTTGCTACGGTGGAATAACTTGTATGGAAAACTAAAAACTATCAGCCTATTTTATAAAATTTTAGGCAAACTCCCCTTAATGAAATGGCATCACTCCGCACCTAAAGCCCCTTTTCTCTTTTTTCATCCTCTTCTTCCTTGTCTTTCTTCAATTTGATTTTCTTTACTGTTATTAGCCCCGGTTTTTTTATATTATATAATAAGATTTGTCTAACATGTGTCCTTAAAGTACAAGATAGAAAAACCCTTATATATGTTGAATAAGTGTTGTTTCATGGCTTTTAACTTCACTAAGACCAAGTCCCCAATTCCTTAATCCTAGTTCAATGGTAAATGGTAAGAAAAAATAAGAAAAATTTTTAATAAGTTAGGAGTTTTACTTCATTTAAGCTTGACTATTTTTTTTTTTTTTCTAGTTTTCATTATTTTGTTGTTCTTTCTATTTTCCTTTTGTTTAGAACAAGCATTATTGACTAAAACATAAGAAAAAAAAATATTTATTTCAAATCATATATGTGTTTCTTCATCAAGTTACTTGTAATTTCTTTTTATTTGTAAAATGAGTACAATTCGATCTAATTTTCTCATCGATTGTACGTTGTTATCCATATACAATTTTAGCTGACCGTTTGTTTGATGAAGGGAATCAAGTGGAAAATGGAAAGACAAGGATGAGGAGGATGAAAAGAAAGAAAAGAGGCTGCAGATGCGAAATGACATCGTGTCATTAAAGGAAATCTGCTTAGAATTTTTTAAAATAAGTTAATACTCTTTCCATAACTCATCATCTACAAATTTTATGAAAAATTTAAATGAAAAAGAATCTAATAAACTAAATATAACGTCAAATTACATATTACATTCAATTCGCAAATGAATTACATATTACATTCAATTCACATATTACATTCAATTCGCAAATGAATTACATATTACATTCAATTCACATATTACATTCAATTCGCAAATGAATTACATATTACATTCAATTCGCAAATGAATATCAAATAGCATGACTTAAATTAATAAGAAGAAAAATACCAAAAATCAAAGCCAAATTCATCAATACAAAATATCAAGAACTCAGCCAATGAAGAAGTACAAAAATATAACTTCGAACTAAAATTATACAGCTCATCCAATGGAGAGCTGTCAAAAAATTAGTGTATGTCACTAGATGCAATAAACACACGGTATTCTTTAGTAAAAGGCGGAAGAATAGTTCGCTATGTGTTTATTACGTGACTGCGTGTTTATAAGCAGAATATTTGCTGGTTTTTATCTTAGATTGTGAAGCATTGCCTTTCCGTCCTAGTCAATGTGGGACTTGGTTCCTTCTGATTTCGTACCTCACCACCGGTTCACCTCAGAGTTCAGATCTTCCCTTCTTGGGTTGGCCCAACTCTATACAATCTATATAAAAAGGGCCCACGAATGGATCCAAACACATACACAAGAAAAAAAAAAAAAAAAGGGAAAATCAAGGATTTTGAATTTTTGATTTTGAGTTTAACGAAGGGAGATAACCTTTGTTTGTTTTTTAACTTACATTACTTGCATCTTTGCTGCTCAAAGCTAAAATTTTTTATTTTTACTATAAAAGAAAGTAAAAATCAACACTTCATGTCATAATTGTATATAAAATTGT